TGTCGACTAAGACTTTTTGCTCGATGGTACCCATGTAGAAGTTTGCAAACAGGACACCTAGGGGAGAACCCATGGCGACCCCATCTACTTGCTTATACATGTGCCCATCCGGGCTCAAGAACGGTGCCTCTTTAGTACAAGCTTGGAGTAGTTTCCTCAGAATATTTTCTGGTATGTCAAGAGGAGTACAGGCTGGATCACGATACACTCTGTCGGCTATCATTCCGATTGTCTCGTCCACAGGTACGTTGGTAAACAGCAATTCTACGTCCAACGAGGCTCTTATCCCTGTGGCCCGTGTGCCCCGCAGTAAGTCAACAAATTCCTTTGGAGACTTCAGGCTGAAGGCGCAAGGAACATAAGGAGTCAGCAGGCCGTTGAGTCGCTTCGCCAGTCTGTACGTGGGTGTGGGTATCTGGCTAATGATTGGCCGAAGTGGGTTTCCAGGCTTGTGTGTCTTGACATTTCCATACGCATATCCAGGTTTATATTCCCCAATGATCTTTGCCAGGTGGAGTCCGGATTTCTTGGCGTTCACAGTTTCGATCAGTTTGTTGACCTTTGCTTTTAATTCAGCTTTAGTGTCCTTCATTACCCTTTGGAACTTAGTTTGGTCAGAGAGTATGATGTTCATTTTAGCCAGATATTCGTCTTTTTTAAGAATGACATATATTGGCGACTTGTCACCTCTCCTGACAACTATCTCCTTGTTCTCACGAAGGCTTTTAGCTGCCGCTTTAAGCTCGGGGGACAGTATGGTGCTTCTGTAATTGCCTCGATTCTTTCCTCCTTCTGCAATAAGTTCTGCTTGTAAGGTATCTTTGGTAGTGACCTTCTTTTGTGTCTCGAGGTCGAATATGTCGTCCAACAGAATTTCCAACTCTACTTTCCGGGCCATCTCACTCGGTCTGGACATAACATGACAGTTTATGCCCAGATTTAGGAGAGTGACTTGGTCCTCAGTGAGGTTAATTCCTGCAAGGTTCAGGAAGCCATCTCTTGGTCGTGGAATTGCCATAGGTCCTCCATATAATGTTGTTGGTTTCTTGATAATCCTTGTTTCAGTGCTGAGGTGATGTTGGTCTGTGAGGATGTCGAGGTGTTGTTCAATGAGGGTACGGATACTTTCGTCAAAAGTATCCGTGCAAAAGACATACCGTGCACTCCCAATCTGATCTATGCAATCACCTATGCGTGGTATTGGGAACGAGTCAGCGACTGTGACTGCATTCACTTTCCTGTAATCGGTGCAGAACCGGTCTGTGCCATCACTCTTCTTCATGAGGAGGCACGGCGAACTCCAGTCACTGTCGCTAACCTCTGTCTAGTCGTTATCTAGCAGATACTTTACTTCTGCTCTCAGCGCCGCTACTTTCTCCGGGTTAACTCTGTAAGGGTGCTGCTTGATGGGGTCAGCACTCCCTACGTGTACTTCGTGCACCGTTCAGCGGTGTCTTCTGGGCACGTCTGTGAATAGCGTCTTCACCAGGTAGCTACAACACTACCATCACCAGGTAGCGACAACACTACCATCATCAGGTAGCTACAACACTACCATCACCAGGTAGCTACACCACTACCATCACCAGGTAGCGACAACACTACCATCATCAGGTAGCTACAACACTACCATCACCAGGTAGCTACACCACTACCATCACCAGGTAGCTACACCACTACCATCACCAGGTAGCTACACCACTACCATCACCAGGGAGCTACACCACTACCATCACCAGGTAGCTACACCACTACCATCACCAGGTAGCTCCACCACTACCATCACCAGGTAGCTCCACCACTACCATCACCAGGTGGCTACACCACTACCATCACCAGGTAGCTACTCCATTTCCATACATATATATATATATATATATATATATATATATATATATATATATATATATATATATATATATATATATATATATATATATATATATATATATATATATATATATATATATATATATATATATATATATATATATATATATATATATATATATATATATATATATATATATATATATATATATATATATAAGGGAATTATCAAGGGAAATCCGCCAAGCTATTACGACTATACTGCACTTGGAAGGGATCAGGATAGGGATTTGGGATGGGACGGGGTGTAGGAATGGTGCCCAGCCACTTAGACGGTCAGGGATTGAACGCTAACCTGCATAACGCCTGACCGTCGCTCTACTGTCCAGACCAAGCGGGTGGGCTGTGGAAAAGGAATTCACATGTTTCCAGCCGGTTAGGCATTGAGTATGATTGAACATAATCCTATTGACGTGTAATGATTGGCGACGCGCTCGTACTTCCAATCTTTATATTGAGCATTGTTTCCACCAACTTGATAAAGTATGACCATTCAAAGATTCGGTTTAATTACAAACTTACATATGTTAAAGGTCTTTTATTTCTCCTTCATGTAAGCACTATGGTGTTGTAGTAAGTTTCTCCTTTATATTTATTCTGATTATATTGCAAACACAGCATAAGCTATAAGGAGGATTCGAACCTGCACACTGGGTGTTCCGAAGCACACTCCTTAGAACCACTGAATCGCGATATGTTGAAAAGTAATGTATCCTACGACCCAACTGAATCCTCTAGGCATCCTGAGGCTTCAACTGAAACCTAGTCAGGTCTTCACATATTTTATCCGCCTACACTCAGGCCGTGGTGTAGGGGTTCGACACCCCCTTCCCCCCTTGGGCATCATTACAAATATACAATGAAATAACACTAACGCGATGTATTAGTGAGAAAATTTGATTTTTTCATTAATACATCACGTTATTGGCATTTATTTTTGCATTATTATTACTTTATTTAATATTATTGTTATTATTATTATTATTAAAGTGACAATTTCCAAACTTATTTGCTTATACCTTGACATTTGTTTACAATTTCCTGGAAAACGTTTGTGGTGAGAACTATTGCAATTTACGATATGTCGTAAATAAGAAATTTACTTAATATTTTAAATATTACGATATTTACGATATGTCTTTGAATCATTCGCTGTTTTTCGTATTCGTTATCACGGGAGCCCTGATCGTCGCGTTCCTTTACCGAACACGGGGGGTAGAAATAGCCTAAGCTACTCTATCCCTTTGAGATGTATTTATTGCTTATCTCAATAAACATACTTGAACTTGAACTTTACCAAACACTCAAGCTAGTGTTGTTTTGGTCGTTCGTCTGTATACAGAATCGGAAGCACCGAACATGAATGGTTCATTCCAGACTGGGTTTAATTATCGTCATGAGCAGGTAACAGCGTTCAGTCAGGGGATTGTGAGCTATTCACCGCGGAGCTCAATGGCCTCCCACTCCAATGACCGCCAAGCAGCCGGGCTCGTTAAAACTCACCACTCAGTTATGCCTCATGTTCGATAACTCACTCACTAACTCATATTCTCCTTCGTTAATACCTCGCAACTATTCATAGTCTCTCGTCGCACATTTGCGATTTGGGGAAATCTTGAATTAGACAAAAATACAAAACATCCGAGTAACTATCCTGCAAAATGCATGTTGATCAAGACACGAGAGTATGCATTTGTTTCCCCCCTTATGAGAGTACGAGAGAAGGGTGCCCAGTGGCGTGTCTCTGGATTGCTATCTCTCTCTCTCTCTCTCTCTCCCTCCCTCTCTTTCTCTCTCCCTACGTCCCTCCCTCCTTCTCTTTTTCTCTCACTCTCTCCCTCCCTCCCGTTCTCTCTCTCAGTACATGCAATATTCACACCAAACCAACATACAACGTGACCCCCCAACGTTATTCTTACTACTGATACTTCAAAGCAACATTGGCATAAAGTGTTGTTTTTGAATGATTAAAATCTTGGAAAAAAACTCTACGGGAAACTAAATCCACATTTTACTTCTTAGGTGATTGTTGCCATTGGAGCTAATCTTTCTTATCAGACGGGGCATGGAGGATGAACCCTAATCCATCTATGGCACTCCCCTACAGTCATAAATCACCATCGAATATTGCGTGAAGCTAGCTACATATGTCGGGCCTCCGACCGTAGTCAAATAGATAAATTTGAATATAGATATTCACTAATAGTTATTTGAAATTTTCTTTCTTTCCTGATTTTCTCTCATCGTCTCTTTCACTGCTGGTTCGTGATATCTTAACGAAGACACCAATAAAGTTTCTCGGAAAATCTTCCTTGCTGTTGGGAGTTTTCTTATTCAGGACCACCCGCTTAAGGCTTCCACTCACTCCTCAGCGGACCCTCATTCATGAGTGTCGTTTTGAGTGGCACTCAAGCGCTGCTGCTTCAGGCTTAGTACAGGTAAACAATGGGTGACTCTATAGTCTCTTAGAGAGCTTTAACAAGCAGATAGCAACGAGTGCCTTGATGTTAGAGCTAAGGCAGCTCTTAACACCGTGGCTCTTAGGCCGCTCTACCTACCAAAAACCTTACATCTTAGGCACCTCTAACATATGACGTCACAGTTGAATGGCACCTCTAACACTATGACGTCAGAGTTGAATGGCACCTCTAACACCATGACGTCAGAGTTGAATGGCACCTCTAACATATGACGTCACAGTTGAATAGCACCACTAACACCATGACGTCACAGTTGAATGGCACCACTAACACCATGACGTCACAGTTGAATGGCACCACTAACACCATGACGTCACAGTTGAATGGCACCTCTAACATATGACGTCACAGTTGAATGGCACCTCTAACTCCATGACGTCACAGTTGAATGGCACCTCTAGCATATGACGTCACAGTTGAATGGCACTTCTAACACCATGACGTCACAGTTGAATGGCACCTCTAACATATGACGTCACAGTTGAATGGCACCTCTAACATATGACGTCACAGTTCAATGGCACCTCTAACATATGACGTCACAGTTGAATGACACCTCTAACATATGACGTCACTGTTCAATGGCACCTCTAACATATGACGTCACAGTTCAATGGCACCTCTAACACCATGACGTCACAGTTCAATGGCACCTCTAACACCATGACGTCAGAGTTGAATGGCACCTCTAACACCATGACGTCAGAGTTGAATGGCACCTCTAACACCATGACGTCACAGTTCAATGGCACCTCTAACACCATGACGCCACAGTTCAATGGCACCTCTAACACCATGACGCCACAGTTCAATGGCACCTCTAACACCATGACGCCACAGTTGAATGGCACCTCTAACACCATGACGCCACAGTTAAATGGCACCTCTAACACCATGACGCCACAGTTGAATGGCACCTCTAACTCCATGACGCCACAGTTGAATGGCACCTCTAACACCATGACGCCACAGTTCAATGGCACCTCTAACACCATGACGCCACAGTTCAATGGCACCTCTAACACCATGACGCCACAGTTGAATGGCACCTCTAACTCCATGACGCCACAGTTGAATGGCACCTCTAACACCATGACGCCACAGTTGAATGGCACCTCTAACACCATGACGCCTCAGTTGAATGGCACCTCTAACACCATGACGCCTCAGTTGAATGGCACCTCTAACACCATGACGTCACAGTTGAATGGCACCTCTAACACCATGACGTCACCGTTGAATGGCACCTCTAACACCATGACGTCACAGTTGAATGGCACCTCTAACACCATGACGCCTCAGTTGAATGGCACCTCTAACACCATGACGCCTCAGTTGAATGGCACCTCTAACACCATGACGTCTCAGTTGAATGGCACCTCTAACACCATGACGCCTCAGTTGAATGGCACCTCTAACACCATGACGTCACAGTTGAATGGCACCTCTAACACCATGACGTCACAGTTGAATGGCACCTCTAACACCATGACGTCACAGTTGAATGGCACCTCTAACACCATGACGCCACAGTTCAATGGCACCTCTAACACCATGACGCCACAGTTCAATGGCACCTCTAACATCCCAATGTCATACCTCTGTTAGGCATCTGTTACAGTCTAACAGTGTATCTCTTAGGAGCACGAACAGCCTAACAATCGCTCTACCGTCCAGCCCAAGTGGTTGGTCCAGAAGATGGAGAAGCGACGACGTTTCACACGACTTGAAAATGGTCCAGGAGAGACCGAAACGTCATTGCTTCACAATCTTCTGAGTTGTGGTTTCGGTCGTCATGTTTTCAGCCACGTTATTGTGACTCATTTTCCGCTATATACATTTTCCGGGATCCGGTCAGCCGAGCGGACAACACACTGGACTTGTGATCCTGTGATCCTGGGTTCGATCCCAGACACCGGCGAGAAACAATGGGCAGAGTTTCTTTCACCCTATGTCCCTGTTACCTAGCAGTAAAACAGGTACCTGGGTGTTAGTCAGCTGTCACGGGCTGCTTCCTGGGGGTGGAGGCCTGGTCGAGGACCGGGCCGCGGGGACACTAAAGCCCCGAAATCATCTCAAGATAACCTCAAGATATGTTCACTCCAACGCTTCTCTTTGGCGACAGTAGATGGGGAGGGATGAATATTTCAGGAGAAAGCACCAAGTCACTACGACTATATAGCACTGGGAAGAGGGCCAGGATAAGGATTTGGGATGGGACGGGTGCAAAGGAATGTGCCCAACCACTTGGACGATCGGGGTTGAACCGCCGACTTGCATGAAGCGAGACCGTCGTTCTACCATCCATCCCAAGTAAGATGGTAAGATAGGGTAAGATGGGGAGTTAAGGCAAGAAATAATAAAGATGAAAATATGAAGCAGTGAGGTAAATCCTGGTCACTCACCTACTCCCAGCCACCTGTTCTCTCGGTTTGCCACAATAACAATAAATAAACTGCTTTGCCTAAGGATAAATGCACGAACCCAGATAACTCACTTAACATATCGAGGTCAATACCTAGAAGACGTCAATATTTTTTAGGATTAAATGAAGATTATACGAAGCATTTACACCTTAGTAGGTTCATTCTATGAAAGAAAAAATTCAATAGATATAGTGAAGGAGCCGGGCCGGCCGAGCAGGTGATGTTGATACGGTTGCATGAACTAATTGCTGAGTTGAATAACAGAGCATAGAGTAGATGGTGACACATATGATACACCCGTTTAAAAAATCGTATTGTTATGTATCTTAGTTGGCCGGCGTTATAATCCCAGAGCTTATGTACTGGAAGCTTATTTTGACCGCGTCTGGATCATGTACTGATCGTGAATGTTTTCCAGATTCTTTTAGGCGGTATATTTGTTTGCCTTTGGCATTGGTTTTGTTTGATTAGTCACATCATTTCCAGTAAAGTTCGTGTCATTAATGTCTATGGTAAGGGAGCCGGTCGGCCGAGCGGACAGCACACTGGACTTGTGATCCTGTGGTCCCGGGTTCGATCTCAGGCGCCAGCGAGAAACAATGGGTATAGTTTCTTTCACCCTATGCCCCTGTTACTTAGCAGTAAAATAGGTACCTGGGTGTTAGTCAGCTGTCACGGGCTGCTTCCTGGGGCTGGAGGCCTGGTCGAGGACCGGGCAGCGGGGATACTAAAAGCCCCGAAATCATCTCAAGATAACCTCAAGATGGTAGTTGGTTTCGTGCTGTGAGATGTTATCACTTCATCCCGGCTCTAGGGGAGTGAGGTTGCTTGCTGTTAAGGCTGTTATCAGTACCGATGAATGAAATGTGATCAGTTTTGCCATCTCAATCTGCTATAACAAACAACGCATGTACTAGAATTGGAGGAGTTGATTGCTGTTGCTAAGGCAGTCTAATGCATTGTTTGGTCAGTTAATCAATGACAGACCCTCATTTAGGCTGCTGCAGGCTGCAATGTTGATACTTTCAGGTTACTTGAATACCTTGCCCAGGCAGGACGGGTAAGACTCACTCACGTCTGAAGAAGATGTTGAATGGGCCCACTACTCTCCCCTTCCACTACTCTCCCCTTTCACTACTCTCCTCGTACATCTGAACCTCTACTCTCTTCACAACTACTCCTGTACGGTATTGCTCTTATCTCCACTTTCTCATCCATCCACTATTCTCATCCTAAACAACATATATGTGATGTTGAATGAGTAGATGTGAACTTGCTAGAATTGTCAATCATTTGAATCATTTTCTCTCTGCATTCGAGGGATGTAAGAGACTACAATCTGTTTGTTTACACACATCATAAATTTTTGGCGCTCTGATTGAACGCAGTTCTCATATTCGTGAACCAAAGAACAGATGCTTCATTTGCCCGTGTGCTATTCGCATTGTTTCGTGATATAATCCAATCTCAAATATATGAATATATGAATCTTAATTTAATATATGAGCCTCATATCCACTCCGCTGACTTGATATGATGTAGATCTATTTCCGGATCATTTAAACCTCATATTGTTTATATTGCTTCATTACCTTGATTGTTTCTCTCAAGCGTATGTTAGTGAAGAACGTTGGGTGTATTCGTATTGTATAAACATGAATGGTGGTCAGTGTTGGTGTATGTTATTCAATTTCCTCAATTATAACTTCGTAAGTGTTGTCTGATGTCAAGTTATTTAGTCTTCTAACAAGTGTGAATTTGATAAATGAGGTTGACGAGTGTGAATGAGTAAGTGGTGAGTATGTTTGGGCAAAGAAGGATGGTGAGATAGATGGAGGGAGGGAGGGAGGGGGAAATGGATGGAGTGAGGGATTGAGGGAGAGAGGGAGGGATGGAGGAAAGGTAGGGATGGGGACATGTAGGGGATGTGGCCAGCAATGCCCTTGACACCTGCTCATGAGTTTGACTTTTCCTCAATCTTCGTTATTCATCAGTTTCAAATGCTAAGTGAGATATCTTGACTTCATCCACACTCATCAAAGGAGCGATGAGTAAATTATAGACATTCTTGACGATGAATATATCTGGGGCCTGAGGGGTAGAGTAGATTCTCAACCAACCCTAGGTATACTTCACTCATCCTACAGGTATACTCTAAGTATATATACATCTTCTATAACCCTTCTGTGCCGGATGATATCCAACGCTCACAAGGAAGTACTTGAATAGTAGTAACAAATATAACTCCGCAGTTAGACTGGTAGTTATGACTGCAAACTGCACATGCTTCAGACAATCATCAGGCTGTTAACTCTAATAAGAGCTGTTAGTAGCGCGGATATGCTAGTTCACTCCTCATCCAATATACGCGACCCATCTAGTTATACCTCCACCGACGCCTACCGCTTGGAGCTAAGGGTAATCCAAACTGTCATTAACCATTGTTCATTACACACTGTCAGAAGACGAGGATTGGCGCCGAGGATAATGTCGGCTGTGTATTGCGATCTCTCTCTCTCTTCCGCCGCTCTACGATATCCAGTGAACGCAGCAGAGAGAACGCATTGGAGAGTGCGCAGCGGAACTGGCGCAGTTGTGGGCTGGGTGAAGGGCTAGGGAGGATGGGGGGGGGGGGGAGCATTGACCACGAATATTGCTTGAGTATTCATCAGACAAAGTAGCCGTGCGGAGCTCAATAGCCGGATTGTGACGGCTGCTCTCGAGGGCCGTTCGTGGATCTATGAGCCGGATTCACGGTATTCTTAACGCCAGGAAAAATGTTGGTCATCCTTTGTCATCTGAAGATTAAAATACAGAAGGAGTTTCCAGGCGCCCCTGCGGGCGTTCGCTCCTCCACTGGAACCGGGAATCGAGAACCGAGACGGCTGCCTGGTTCCCGGTTCTCAGAGAACCCCTCAACCCAAAATGCTCCGGCTTTATTTTGGACTATTTTCCTTTTTCCCAGGAGCTTATCAGGATTTTTCTACCTGGTCAGGTCGATAAGAATTCGACTCGAGTTTACACTTAAAGCCTTAAAGCCTTAAAGCCTTAAAGCCAGCAGTTTGTTGTATCGTGTCCTGTATAATGGGTTTAAATCTTGAGAATATATCTTTGAGAGGGACTAGTTAAGAGTTTTAATGATTGGATGTTTATGTATTAAATTGACTTACACACCAGTGAATGTTGAGACATCATAGCAACAATCCCTCCACACACACACACACACACACACACACACACACACACACACACACACACACACACACACACACACACACACACACACACACACACACACACACACACACACACACACACACACACACACACACACACATACACGCACACGCACACGCACACACACACACACAAACACAGCCTACCTGTGACGACGCGTGAAAGAGACCTGGGGGTGGACGTAACACCTAATCTATCTCCTGAGGCACATATAAATAGGATAACGACAGCAGCGTACTCGACACTGGCAAAAGTTAGAACATCATTCAGAAAGTAAGTAAGGAGGCATTTAGAGCGCTTTAAACTGCCTACGTGAGGCCAGTCTTAGAGTATGCCGCCTTATCATGGAGTCCCCATCTGAAAAAGCATATAATGAAACTGGAAAAGGTTCAGAGGTTTGCAACGAGACTCGTCCCAGAGCTACGAGGGATGGGGTATGAGGAGCGCCTGAGGGAACTGTGCCTTACGATACTAGAAAGAAGAAGGGAGAGGGGGGACATGATAGCAACGTATAAGATACACAGAGGGATTGACAGAGTGGACATAGACGAAATGTTCACACGGAATAGTAACAGAACGAGGGGACATGGATGGAAGCTTGAAACTCAGATGAGTCACAGAGATGTTAGGAAGTTTTCTTTTAGCGTGAGAGTAGTGGGAAAATGGAATGCACTTCAGGAACAGGTTGTTGAAGCAAATACTATTCATAATTTTAAAACCAGGTATAATAGGGAAATGGGACAGGAGACATTGCTGTAAACAACCGATGCTCGAAAGGCGGGATCCAAGAGTCAATGCTCGATCCTGCAGACACAAATAAGTGAGTACAAATAGGTGAGTACACAGCTGGAAAAAGCTGGAAATTTCGAAAAAGTTTAGAGGTATGCCACTAGGCTAGTCCCAGAACTAAGAGGCATCAGTTACGGGGTTATGCTGTGTGAAATG